ATACAGGAAAGAGTAAGGTTATGAGGATAACAAAAAGATTAGGTGATGAAAGATTGGATATCAGATTGGAGGGAAGGGTGTATGGAGGAGGTGAACGTATTCAGATATTTGGGAGTGGACGTGTCAGCGGATGGGTCTATGAAAGATGAGGTGAAAACATAGAATTGATGAGGGAAAAAGAGTGAGTGGTGCACTTTGGATTTTGTGGAGACAAAAAACTTTGTCCTTGGAGGCAAAAAAGGGGAATGTATGAGAGTATATTTTACCAACGCTCTTATATGGGTGTGAAGCGTGGGGGATGAATGTTGAAGTGAGGAGAAGGCTGGAGGCAGTGGAGATGTCATGTTTAGGGCAATGTGTGGTGTGAATATAATGCAGAGAATTCGAAATTTGGAAGTTAGGAGGAGGGGCGGGATTACCAAAAAATGTTGTCCAAGGGCTGAGGAAGGGTTGTGTAGGTGGTTCGGACATGTGGAGAGAATGGAGCGAACAGAATGACTTCAAGAGTGTATCAGCTGTATGGAAGGAAGGGGGGTAGGGTCGGCCTAGGAAGGTTGGAGGGAGGGGGTAAAGGAGGTTTTGTGTGCGAGGGCTTGGACTTCCAGCAGGCATGCGTGAGCGTGTTTGATAGGAGTGAATGGAGACAAATGGTTTTTAATACTTGACGTGCTGTTGGAGTGTGAGCAAAGTAACATTTATGAAGGGATTCAGGGAAACCGGCAGGCCGGACTTGAGTCCTGGAGATGGGAAGTACAGTGCCTGCACTCTGAAGGAGGGGTGTTAATGTTGCAGTTTAAAAACTGTAGTGTAAAGCACCCTTCTGGCAAGACAGTGATGGAGTGAAAGTTTTTCTTTTTCGGGCCACCCTGCCTTGGTGGGAATCGGCCAGTGTGATAATAAAAAAAAAAAAATACACACAAACTGAAGAAGACATGCACAATTACTACTCTACTAAGAATAGAATACATGACACTTACCTTTATTGAAGATCTGGTGATGATTGATGAGATGGGACGAGGGGAGAGTGTGGAAGTTATTGTTTAGAAGGGGAATCCCCTTCCATTAGGACTTGAGGTAACAAGTCCTTTTCCAGGAATACTTCCCTTCTTTTAATGCCACTAGGACCAGCTTGAGAGTCACTGGACCTCTGTCGCACAACAAATCTGTCCATAGAGCTCTATACCTCCCGTTCCTTTAAAACTTTACTAAAATGGGCCATAACATTGTCATTGTACAGGTTGCCAACACGGCTTGCAGTAGCTGTGTCAGAATGATTTTCATCCATAAAGGTTTGCAGTTCAACCCACTTTGCACACATTTCTTTAATCTTTGAAGTAGGCAGTTTCCTCAATTTCTCTCTCCCCTCCTCTGAAGCAGTTTCCTCAGGTCTGGCCTCTTACTGTTGAAGATGATCTTGCAGCTCATCAGTGGTTAGTTCTTCATTGTCCTCCTCCACCAACTCTTCCACATCCTCCCCACTAACCTCCAACCCCAAGGACTTCCCCAATGCCACAATGGATTCCACAACTGGCAAACGCTTCTCAGGGTTAGCCTCAAACCCTTCAAAATCCCTTTGTTCTACACATTGTGGCCACAGTTTCTTCCGAGCAGAGTTCAAGGTCCTCTTAGTCACTCCCTCCCAAGCCTTACCTATAAGGTTTACGCAACTGAGGATACTAAAGTGATCTTTCCAAAACTCTCTTAAGAGTCAATCGAGTGTCTGAGGTCACTTCAAAGCACTTTTGAAACAACTTTTGTGTAGTTTTTTGAAGTTTGAAATGACCTGCTGGTCCATGGGCTGCAGGAGAGGAGTGGTATTAGGAGGCAAGAACTTGACCTTAATGAAGCTCATGTCCCTAGAAAGTCGCTCTGCCTAGTCTGAAGGATGACCAGGAGCATTGTCTAATACCAGGAGGCACTTAAGGTCCAATTTCTTTTCCATTAGGTAATTTTTCACATTGGGGGCAAGTGCATGATGTAACCAGTCATAGAAAAAGCTCCTAGTGACCCATGCCTTACTGTTTGCCCTCCACAGCACACACAAATTAGCCTTGAGGACATTGTTTTGCCTGAACGCTCTGGGAGTTTCAGAGTGATACACCAATAAAGGCTTCCCTTTGCAATCACCACTAGCATTAGCACACATCAAAAGAGTAAGCCTGTCTTTCATAGGCTTATGTCCTGGGAGTGCCTTTTCCTCCCTGAGTAATGTAGGTCCTGCTTGGCATTTTCTTCCAAAACAGGCCTGTTTCATCGCAATTAAACACTTGTTCAGGTTTCAATTCTTCACTATGTACTCCTTGAATTCCTTCACATATTTTTCAGCCACTTTTTGGTCCGAACTGGCAGCCTCACCATGCCTTATCGTACTATGTATGCCACTACGATTGTTAAATCTCTCAAACCAACCTTCGCTTGCCTTAAATTCACTCACATCACCACTAGTTGCATGCATTTTTCTAATTAAATCGTCATGCAGCTTCCTAGCCTTTTCACATATGATTGCTTGAGAGATGCTATCTCCTGCTATGTATCTGTTTTTTGTTTATCCACACCAATAACAGTCTCTCAACATCTTCTATCACTTGCGATCTCTGTTTTGAAAACAAACTTGCACCTTTTGCAAGAACAGCTTCCTTGATTGCCATTTTGTTGGCCAAGATAGTAGCGATGGTTGATTGGGGTTTGGCATACAACCTGGCCAGCTCCGAGACACACACTCCACTTTCATACTTAGCATTATCTCTTTCTTTATTTCCATAGTAATTTTCACCCTTTTTACCACAGGGTTGGCACTAGAAGCTTTCTTGGGGCCCATGGTGACTTATTTTGCAGTTACAAACACTAAAAACACTGTGATACTATGAAATGTACCGAATGTATGCTTAGATGCGACCACACTGGCTGGCTTGTAAACACTGGCACCCACAGGGCAGCTGAGGCCACACATGGAATGCGTCCCGGACGAATCATGTAAGGCGAGTTTTTTATTGTGAGGTGAGGCAAAATTTTTGCATTCAAATGCTTTGTATGGCGGATTTAATGTAACACAATGTGTTTGTAAGGCGGGGGTCCACTGTAGTTGAAATTTCTCTTCATTGAACTTCATTTTGTTTTCAGCGGCCCATTTGTAGGGAAATGTTTCTGAATAAAGACACCTAATTGTTTCACATGTGTCTTACTTATCAAGCCTGTTTGCAGGTGTTGGGTTTTGTTTAGGACATACAGTAGATATTTGATGTGCAGTTTCACCTAGGATGTGCTTAACCCTTTCAGGGTTTCAGATGTACTAGTACGGCTTACGCCCCAGGGTTTTTGACATACTAGTACGCCTAAATTCTAGCGCCCTCAAATCTAGTGAGAGAAAGCTGGTGGGTCTACATATGAAAGAATGGGTCTATGTGGTCAGTGTGAGCAGTATAAAAAAAATCCTGCAGCACACAGTGCGTATTGAGAAAAAAAAAAAAACTTTGACTGTGTTTTTGGATTAAAACAGCGACTTTGCACTGTATTTTCATATGGTATTGTTGTATTCTAGTTTTCCTGGTCTCATTTTATAGAATGGAAGACATATATAGAAATTGAGATGATTTTGACTGGTTTTACAATGAAAAGTACCTTGAAATTGAGCTCATAGTAGCAGAAATGTTTGATTTTTACCAAAGTTCAAAAGTAAACAAATCATGCTAAGTGTCCAATACACGTCAACTGGTCAGTCTAATGTTCTTTCACAAGTGTGCCGATATTATTTATGCCATTTCTACACTAATACAGTAGTCTGCATAACAGTAAATCTTCAATTTTTTGTGAGAATAAAAAATTCAAAGTGGAATGCAAAAGAATGTAAGAGGGGCATGGGGACATGACTAATAAACAGAGGAAATGTTATTTTAGTGCCAGGAATGTCTTTTTTGTTTATTCTGGACCCTATTTGGAAATTGGCATCTTTTGAAATTTGTGTGAAATTGGGAAAATTGCTAAATTCTGACCACTGTATTGGATAGTTGCAGTCGGTAAATGGGTGGTTTCTTGTACTCATTCAATAGAAAAAATGGAGTTCTAGCGAAATAGTTATGATTTTTGTCGACTAGTACACTGGAATTGGCTGAAAATAGGGCTCAAAGTGGGCAAAATCGCTGATGCGTAAACATCGTCGAGACTGCAAATTTTGTGAGAGCATAATTCCATAAGTTTTCCATCAAATTTCACACTTTTGGTGTCATTATGATCGGGAAAAGATTATCTATCTTTTCACAAGATTTTTTTTTTTTTTTTTTTTTTTTTCTTTCTTTCTTTTTTTTTTTTTTTTTTTTTTCGAAATTTGGGCGACCCTGAGAATAAGTCTGGGAGAGGGCCTGGGGACCCTGAAAGGGTTAATGCAGTTAATACTTTAAAGTGCTCAACCATTCAAAATTATGAATTTCCTGTTTCATTGCTGTGTGAGTTCTTACCTTATCTTTCACTGCTGCCTTCACCATAATATGGGAGTCTTGATGGTAGGATTCCTAAGTGATTCATCAGAATTCTTACACATACTACATCATTTAGAAGTGTACAAGAAACCTCTTTCTGTGGATGAACCAGTGAGGCAAGCACTTCCCTGTGTCACTTGTCTGGACTGGGGCTCCACAGTATTGGCAAGACCTTAAAACTATTGAAATCATACAATGGGTGGGGCTTGAAACCATGGTAAGTGAGTCCTAAAACTTACAGCTCAGGACTCGCTCACCTTGGGGTTCAAGCCCCACTCGTTCTCTGATTTGTTTGCAATCATCCTATTATGATTTCGTAAATTAACTGTTGAAAGCAACTGAGACTTCCTAAATAGTAATGAAAAGTTCAGTTTCAAACTTGGCACAAGGAAAGGTAAAATTAGAGCGGTTGTATTGTTAAGTAGTTTGTCAGAACTCCATACACAAAGTAGTTTTTCCTTCTTCAGCCTGATGTGCAGTGTTATTCTTTATTGTACTTTTTCTTACTATATCATTGTTCTCCCACAGAATGATCCGTTTTATGCCAACAAAGCATTCTGGCGGTCTGCATCAGTCATGCTTGGAGCGGTGTTGGAGACTGCATTTAAAGAAAGAATTTATGTAGAACTCTGTTCTTTTCCCTCTCCCAATGGTATGTATTGCTACCCAGTTTGACAGTCAGTTAGTGCTTATTAGTGTGGTAAAGAGAGTGACAGAGAGAGAGTATGGCAGAGCAACTCTTAATTGTGATGATGATGATAATGTCCTTAGTGCTGAGCTTTATCAAGCCATAACTTGATAAAATAACTGTGTGAAACATCATCAGGCAGTAGGTTGGTAGACAACAACCACCCAGGGTGGTACAACCATCCTGTGGTAGTAGGTTGGTAGACAGCAATCACCCAGGGTGGTACTACCATCCTGTGGTAGTAGGTTGGTAGACAGCAACTGCCCAGGGAAGTGCTACCATCCTGTGGTAGTAGGCTAGTAGACAGCAACCACCCAGGGAGGTACAGTAATACCCCAGTTTTCATTGTTAATCCGTAAGCCGCCCGACCACTCCAGTGTGGCTAATGCGCCATTGTTTACAAGCCACTGCAGACGATTCCACACATACATGCAATACATTTTGTATTATTCCATTTTTTTAGTGCTTGTAACTGCTAAATAAGCCACCATGGGACCAAAGAAAGCTTCTAGTGCCAGCCAACTCTTTGGTAAAGGACTGAGAGAGAGGGGAGAATGTGCTTTTTTCAGTGATTCTGCAATATGTATGATACTAAAGCAGCAGGAGTCTATGAAGGCCATAGCAGCAGCCAGCGATAAAGTGTAGCATTAACTGTAGCAAGTAAGTTAAGCGGTTAATTGATAGAAAAATGACAGCACAACCCTAACTCCTCCAATGTTGTTGAACAACACAACAACACCCGTGACATACTTAATGATGTATTTTATTCATTCTAGAGTATATGTCATGTTTCTATGTTATTAATATTGTTTATTATGTCATATTAGATGAATTGTGCTAGATAAATAAACTGCAGAGCTGATATTAGTGTCATATTGAAGGACTATCTTGTATCTCCCATCACAATTCCTAACATATGCCAGAAACATACCTCTCTGGAAAACTTTTTTGAGTGACAGGGGTCCATTGGCTCTCAAGCTGGTCCTAGTGGCATTAAAAAACAAAGGAGGGAAGTAACCCAGGATAAGGACTTGGTACCTGAAATCTTTATGGAGTGGGATTACCCTTCCAAACAATTGTAAACTCCTCCATCCTCTCCCTTCCTCCCGTCTTCCATACATCACCATGTCTTCAGTAAAGGTAAGTGTGATGTTATTATTGTTTTATTCTTTATATATCATTGTTTTCTATGTAGGGAAATGTATATTTCGTGTAAAAAATTATTTTGTTTAATACTTTTGGATATCTGAGGTGGATTAATTGGGTAACGATAAAATCGGTTAAGGACAGGCTCTCTGGAACAGATTAATATCGTTAACTGAGGGTCCACTGTAATATTTCACATAAGAAATAATGTAAATCCAATTAATCCATTCCAGGCACCCAAAAATATTAACAAAAAATAAATTAAGTTAGTAATTGAACTAGGCATTAAAAAACAATAAAAAGTAAAATACATACACAGTACATTCAATACTTACCTTAAAATATTTGTAGTCTTAATGTAGGGTGAGAGGTGAGTAGTATTTATTTGTAGGAAGTCAGTGTAGGTAGCCGGTAGGTGTAGCCTGGGCTACACCTACCGACTACCTACACTGCAGTCCAGAGCCATATTATTACCATTGACATACCATGTTCACTGAGTTTAATCATTTCTAACAACTACCTTTAGATGCCATCATAAACAAAGGGGAAAGCAATGAATAATTCATGCCGAGAATTGTAAACAGAAGCGTTTTGTATTTAGGGCGGTGACTGGTCCAGACACAGATTCATACAGTTTACTCTAATGGTGAACCAGAGAATACATACTGTTTTCCCTCCACCGACCCACCCCTCGATAGCATATAAACATGGCATGTTTATATGCTATGTGACATGTTTCTTATATAATTTTGAAGAAAATATCATAGATGGATTAATGAAAATGTCTATATTAATGTAAAATAAGACATTGAATGTGCCCAAGAGTGAGTCACGAATGTATGAGCGGCCCAGGCGGACGTGTGTGATACAGACGATTTCCGAGCTGGTGTATGGAACCCGGGGGAAAATTTTGCCGAAAAAAAAGTGCTCAAAATCCTAATTGTATGGTTTCCGCACTGGACAAAAACTGGGGGTGCACTGTGCTATCGTCCTACCAAGTGACTGTGAAACAGAAACCTGTAACTGTTTTACATGATAGAAGGATTGTTCGTGTTCTTTTTTCTGTCTCGTAAACATGCTGGATAACAGGTATATCTTGCTACTTCTACTTACATTTAGGTCACACGACACAGGCATGCACATGCATATATATACAGTACGGTACATACACACATCCAGGTTTTTCTTCTTTTTTCTTAATCATTCTTGCTCTTCTTTATTTCCTCTATTCTAAATGGAGAAGTGGTAAAAAATCTTTCCTCCATAAGCCATGCATGCTGTATAAGGCGACTAAAATGCCAGGAGCAATGGGCTAGTAACCCCTTCTGTAGAAAATACTAAAAAGGAGAAGAAAAACTTTATAAAACTGGGATTCTTGAATGTCCGTGGATGTAGTGCAGGATGATAAGAAAGAGATGATTGCTGATGTTATGAATGAAAAGAAGTTGGATGTCCTAGCTCTGAGCAAAACAAAGCTGAAGGGGGTAGGTGAGTTTCAGTGGGGAGAAATAAATGGGATAAGTCAGGAGTATCTGAGAGACAGCTAAGGAAGGGGTAGCAATAATGTAGAAGGATCAGTTATGGAAGGAGAAGAGGGAATATTAATGTATAAATTCAAGGATTATGTGGATTAAAATAAGGGTCAGATGTGAAAAGTGGGTCATAATAAGTGTGCATGTACCTGGAGAAGGGAGGAGTGTAGAGGAGAGAGAGATTTTGGGAGATGTTAAGCGAGTGTGTAGGAACTATTGATCCAAGTAAGAGAGTAATTGTGGTAGGGGACCTAAATGCTAAAGTAGGAGAAACATTTAAAGGGGGTGTGGTAGGTAAGTTTGGGGTGCCAGGTGTAAATGGTAGTGGGGGCCCTTTGATTGAACTTTGTATAGAAAGGAGTTTGGTTATAGGTAGTACATGTTTTAAGAAAAAGAGGATATATATGTATGAAGGATATGATGCAGGGTGTAATGACAGTAGTTTGTTGGACTGTGTATTGGTAGATAAAAGACTTTCAGTAAACTTCAAGATGTGCATGTTTATAGAGTGGCCACAGATGTATCAGATCACTTTTTAGTTGTAGCTACAGTGAGAGTAAAAGATAGATGGGATACAAGGAAAATGGAAGCAGCAGGTAAGAGAGAGATGAAGGTTTATAAGCTGAAGGAGGCAGTTAGGGTAAGACATAAACAACTATTGGAGGATAGATGGGCTAGTGAGAGTATAGGCAATGAGGTTGAAGATGTATGGAGTAGGTTTAAGAATGTAGTGTTAGAGTGTTCATCAGAAGTTTGTGGTTACAGGAAAGTGGGTGCAGGAGGGGAGAAGAGCAATTGGTAGAATGATGATGGAAAGAGATTAGAAGAGAAAAAGTTAGCATATGAAAAGTTTTTACAAAGTAGAAGTGATGCAAGGAGGGAGGAGTATATGGATAGGAAAAGAAAGGTTAAGATTGTGGTGAAGCAATGTAAAAAGAGAGCAAATGAGAGAGTGGGCGAGATGTTATCAACAAATTTTGTTGTAAATAAGAAAAGGTTTTGAAGTGAGATTAATAAGTTGAGGAAGCCTAGGGAACAAATGGATTTGTTAGTTAAAAATAGGAGAGGAGAGTTATTAAATGGAGAGGTTAGAGGTATCGGGAAAATGGAGGGAATATTTTGAAGAATTGTTAAATGTTGATGTAGATAAGGAAGCTGTGATTTTGGGTATAGGGCAAGGAGGAATAACATCTTCTAGGAGTGAGGAGGAGCAAGTTGTGAGTGTGAGGGAAGTTTGCAAGGTAGTGGGTAGAATGAAACGGGGATAAGGCAGCTTGGATTGATGGGATAAAGATAGAAATGTTAAAAGCAAGTGGGGATATAGTTCTGGAGTGGTTGGTGCTTTTATTTAATAAATATATGGAAGAGGGTAAGGTACCTAGGGACTGGCAGAGAACATGCATAGTTCCCTTGTATAAAGGCAAAGGGGACAAAAGAGAGTGTAAAAATTATAGGGGAATAAGTCTGTTGAGTTCTAGGTAGTAGGTTGGTAGACAGCAACCGCCCAGGGAGGTACTACCGTCCTGCCAAGTGAGTGTAAAACGAAAGCCTGTAATTGTTTTACATGGTGGTAGGATTGCTGGTGTCTTTTGTCTGTCTCATCAACATGCAAGATTTCAGGTATGTCTTGCTACTTCTACTTACACTTAGGGCACACTGTACATACATGTACAAGCATATATATACACACCCCTCTGGGTTTTCTTCTATTTTCTCTCTAGTTCTTGTTCTTGTTTATTTCCTCTTATCTCCATGGGGAAGTGGAACAGAATTCTTCCTCCGTAAGCCATGCATGTTGTAAGAGGCAGCTAAAATGCCGGGAACAAGGGGCTAGTAACCCCTTCTCCTATATATATTACTAAATGTAAAATGAGAAACTTTCGTTTTTCCTTTTGGGCCACCCCGCCTTGGTGGGATACGGCCGATATGTTGAAAGAAAGAAGTCTGTTGAGTATACACCAACCACCCAGCTTATGACCTGCTCGACATACGACCATGTTTTTATTTTTATTTATTTTTTTTTATTAGCACACTGGCCGATTCCCACCAAGGCAGGGTGGCCCGAAAAAGAAAAACTTTCATCATCGTTCACTCCATCACTGTCTTGCCAGAAGGGTGCTTTACACTACAGTTTATATACTGCAACATTAACATCCCTCCTTCAGAGTGCCGGCACTGTACTTCCCATCTCCAGGACTCAAGTCCGGCCTGCCGGTTTCCCTGAATCCTTTCATAAATGTTACTTTGCTCACACTCCAACAGCACATCAAGTATTAAAAACCATTT